ATGTATCTAATACCGCAGTTCAAAATATATGAACTTCATATATATCATTGTATCTGACTTGTAAGTAAGCTATTATTGAGATTTTACAATCGGAAAATCTCCATGTACAGACCTTTAACAGTTTCTTTCCAAATGGCAGGCCTTTTTCTCGTGCCCAGACCTTTCACGGTTCAGTTATGGTTACATAGTAGGATCTGGGCATGAGATTAGGCAGGCCTGTAAGAGTATTCCCTCTAAACTTACTCAAGGTTTCAACGACTTATTCCGACCATCAGTGGCTGCCGGTAATATATTAGGTGACTGTTCTCAAAAAAGGGGCTGCTAGTCTCCTTTCCCCAATACAAGGTAATTCTGGAGGCATGCTCCCCTAGTAAGAAAGTGTGTATATGGCTAAACATATCGACGGCGGTTAGAAGTCGTATTGACGGCAGTAATTTCGTACCCAGACCTTTTACGGCCGAGCGGTTGTAAGAATCCTTTATTTCAGTTACAGTTGGAGGTTAGGATCTGGTTACGAGCAGTAGACCGCTGTAACTGTCTCTTATTGAAAGAGGTTTAACTGACTATTTGTAAAAAGGCTGATAGTTTCGAAAGAAACTGTTTGGGCTGCGTCGGTGGGAGTAACGAAATAATTTGGATATATCAACAAAGTTGAAATGGTAAATTGGCCACCGTAACGATTACAAAAGCTGACGTTTCGAGCGTTAGCCCTTCGTAAACTGTTAGCCGCAAAACGGCAAAAAAATAGCCGTTGGGGACAAAAATTGATGAATTTTGACTGTTGGTTGTAAAAAAAGAGTGAACTGGAAAATTTTTTCTTTGATCAACAAAGGAAAGAGATCAAGCCGATAGCCATAAAGTGGCCAAAGTTTTAGCCGTTAGCTGTAAAAGCCAGCACCTCACTGAGACCGGTTCTTCAAACGGGTGACTTTTCTCCTGGATTCAAATAGCTTTAGTTGCTGATTCTGTCAACTTATAATGACAACATTCGGTTTGTCTTATAAATTTCGCTCCCAAGAAAGAATATTGTAAGTTTTTGAAAAGCTTCCAAACGCTAGCAAAGTGTAGTCCACAGTGAAATAATTATAAACAGGGTAGGTGACATCCCCGCTAAAATATTACTATTCTATTAATTAGCCCTTTGAACTCTAAAAGTGACCAAGATCTAATTTTCACTGAATGCTCTTCCGAATCACCTTTGTTAAGGACCAAAACAATGCTCAGAATGAGATATCTCGAAATTAAATTATTTCTATTCACTATGCTAGCGTCGTAAGACAACGTCTTTTCAAAAATTATTATTTTTATCATTAATCATTCGTAATGATAATGATAATGACAATGATGAATATGAGGGCCTGTGTAATGTCGTTCCTCAGATTAGGGGAGCAGGGTTGGCGTAGCGGTGAGAGCGCTCGCCTTCCACCAATGTGTCCCGGGTTCGATTCCCGGATCCGGCGTCATAAATGGTTGAGTTTGTTGGTTCTCTACTCTGCTCCGAGAGGTTTTTTATCCGGGTACTCCGGTTTCCCCTTCTTCAAAAACCATCATCATTTGAATTTATTTAATTTAGAGTTTATTTGGATTTACACACGACCCCACAAGCTGTTCAGCTATCGTGTCTAAATAAAGGTGTTATTATTATTATTATTATCTTACTGTGCAACTGTAACTGAAGTAGAACGCTCTGGCCGTGAAAGCTCTGGTTAGAAGACTGAGGCGCTTACTGGGTTGCCTCCTGCCTGGTGGGGTTCTTAAATACTATGTTTTTATTACACCTTTTCTCGGATACGATCTTGGAGAATTTGATGTTACATCAAGATAACGCTAACCTCGTTCTCAGGGTCTGTCCTCTTTACGCTCTTTCTCTCTGTTTCTTTCGTTCCAGAGGGAACTAGGGGGACTAGGAACGAGTAACCATCAAGTTTGTTTACTCTTATCGCCTGTTTGAAAGTAGTTACTTGTTTCTGATTTATGGCAAATAAAGGGGTACAAAAAACAGCTTTCTTTTGATAGACAACACGATCACTGAGTTTTGATTTCACAGTCCATTGAAAAAAAGACAAAAACTGACTCTTGCATGCATGGCTGTGTTTTACTTCTTTGAAAGACCAAAGCTGAAAAGAAAAAAAAAAAAAGTATCTCGCTGATTATGAGACAGCCACACGGTTTAGCTGACTCCGATTAAAAAATCGAAAATTGTGCACAAGTTCATTATTGTACTTCGGTTTGCTGTGACCAAAATCGCCATGACTCTTTGTTACATTTGTTGATCTTTCACTTCAAGTAATGTTATGTCTTCCCTTCTTAACCAGCTAATTTGTGTCTGATGTGTTCAGTGCGAGCTAAGAAAGCTGATAATTTCATCGTGCACCCGCCGTTTGGCAACAATGTATCTAAATTAACATTTCAAACGACAGTTCTGAAATAGCTATTTATTTCCTAACAAAGACCCTCAATCAATTATTGCACAGGAACCTCTTTTCTTTTTATTTACCTTCTGGTGTCCAAGTGAATAGTGAAAAAGGTTTTGAAAGGCGCTTTTATAAGATATGTGTGAAGTTTCTGAATGAAAGAAGAAATAAAGGGTCTCTCATTTAACGGAAAAACCGGTTAAAGTTAGTTGATAAGTCGCTAAGCATTTGATTGGTTTTCCTCTCCGCAGCATATTATGAAATCTTATTGACTTTTCTACGATTAAGATATTTAGTTAACTTTTGATATAAAACTAAAATGAACGTTTACCACCCAAGGAGCCTCAGGATATAAACTTTACAAACGATTTTCTCGGATTTCTCATTTCAAAATATGGAAAAATTAAAGATTTAAAACACTTTGCCGAGTTTCTTGTAACTTCGTTCGTTTGCTTCAAAACATTTGTCCTTTTGACTCGGACTTTTATTGGATACTTTAATCCAGATTTTAGTTTTTTTTCAGTATCATAATTAGCAGGCTTTACCACCTAAAGAGAAGTAGAATATACATTTGACAAATTTTCTTAAATACCTCTCTTGGAAATGAAGATAATTTAAAATCGAGGCGCGCCATGTATTTTATTCAATACTTTTCATTTCAGTGTTCACACTGACAAAATTTTATTTTTAGAATTGAAAGAGCTAGTGAGCCATCTTGTACAGTATAACACAGAAGACCGCATGAAACTACCACTTTAAAAATCCCATTTGAATGGTTAATTTTTTATCACAATTTTGACCACGTAGGTAGGAATTGGTCATTTTTTAAGACAATCTCGTCTGGTGAATGATTCTCTCTAAAGAAAAGTTGGTTACGATTCCGATATTTCCATGTTTCTTCTGTGATGTGGTATTACATATATCATTAGGTGAAATGACTTTCTCTTAGCTCAAAAATATCTTTTGTTGACTCAAATAACACGAGATTATGTCAAATAAACAAAACAACACTCTCGATAAATTTTCCTTTTTATATTTTCGTGCAAGAATTGCAAGAGTGTTAAACCTTATATACAGCTCAGACAAATTGTGCAAGTGACGGCGCTCTTAATGTCAGGTACCAAAACTTTTCTAATAGTCTTTATAGTTAATTACTGTAAATTAAAGAAACTGTTTTACAAGCTTTCGCCAACTGCAACACCTGCTTGTCGAGATCTTTGTTTATGCCGAGCGTTTGGCAAACAAGACCAAACTTCTGAAGATAAACAGTTAATTCAATACACCGTCTACTAACCATCTCGTAGGAATTTGTAAGAGACCAACAGAAAACCTCTCGTGTCATAAAACCAAGAGTTGTTTTTTAAGTCTCTTTTCCTTTTCAATGGGTTTAGACTCTTTTATCTTCCATTGTCATGTAAAAGTTTGTCTTTTTAAGAAACACGGCCATGAACTAAACACACTACATGAATAATTTATCAAACCTAAACATCATCGCCTTTGATGAGTTCCATTGTTTTTGTAAGGCAGACACGTCGAATACACGCTTGTTGTGTAAAAAAAGAAAAAAAAAATCAAATCTGACTTCTGTTTAAATTGATATTTCAAATAAAAACGATTCTAGCCGAAGTGAAAGCAAAAATTAATGGTTGAATCAAAAAACGAAAAAAAAAAAAAATGGCCCGTGTTCATCGATAACAACAACATCATTTGTTTTGTGTAGGGATCTAAAGAAAACTTTCAAAGCGACCGCATAAATGAGCACTATTGTTTTGAAAGTAGACTTCATTAATTATGCAAACATGAATTTGGTGAGAGAATATACGTAGCCATAAGATGCAACCTTCCAGGTGAAGTAAAGATTTTTAAAACTATTTCAAGTCACGTAGATAGACGAAAGCATTGTAGTGGTACTAACAAAATCGTTAATTTACATTGAGTACCGTCGAAGCTGTCGCTGGAAAAGAAAAAGAACTGAACTCGGACTTGACTGAAATGAACAATTTGTAAGACACACTCTCGCCACTTGAGCTCACATTAAACATTAATTAAACACAAAAGAGTCTTTTGTTTTGTGTCTCAGCATAAAAGCAAGACTTGAGACTCTGTCAACCACTATTATAAAGGCCGTTTCTGAGCAGCTATCTAACACTCACAAGGCAGGGCGCTTGTGTCGCGTCAAAGCTAATTGAAGTGAGTTTGTTTGAGAAATTGCTGTCCCACTGTGAAGCGCTGCTTAAAAGGAGACGTTTAAAAGCTAGTGAAGTGAGAGGCAACATCAGTTACGCTAACTTCAGCGGCGGAGAAAAGTGACTAAGCTTAGAAATCTTCTGGAAAGAAGCCATTGAAGGATAAGATGTCCAGCCTTGAAAATCACATAAAACGGCCAATGAACGCGTTTATGATATGGTCTAGTCGCAAACGACGAGAATTAGCGCGTGAAAACCCCAAACTTCATAACTCGCAAATCAGCAAGATTCTTGGCTCTGAGTGGAGAAAACTCACCGAGGAGGAAAAACAAAAATTTTTCGCTCAAGCCAAGCTACTGAGCGAGCTTCACATGATAGAACACCCTGATTACAAGTATAGACCAAAAAGACGCCCCAAGAAAAAGTACTTGAAACACAACTTGAATCCAGCGTCCTGTTCGTACGGACCGTGTGTATGCCACGAGTCATCTGCGGCGCCGCAAGAGGACGATCAGCTGGGGAAAAATCCTGAACATTTCAATGGAAATGAAGATTTTAAAAATGGTAAAGTCCCCATTAAGAAGGAAGAAACTGAAAACGAAGACGAAGCTTGTCCTCCCGATTCGCGACCAGAAAGCGTTCCGAGCAAAGAGGAAAATTTTGATGACTTCCCCTCGCATGTAAAGTTGAGATCCTCGTCATATTTGCGCAAAGATAACTGTAAGGCAAGCAGAAGCATGACCGGTCAGGAGGAGATTCATCATCCGGGATTCACGGATGACTTAAGTTTCCGAGAGCATCGAGTGCCGTTGCCGAGAAGTTGCCGTTCCATGTCATTTCACTCAGCACTATTTCAAAATCAATGCCACTTTTTGCAAAATCACATCCCCAGCGAGAGAGAAGCAGTGCAGATACTTCCCTACCACGCTCCTGTTAGGTGCAGCTGCTGCCTTCCTCCAGAAGGGCTTTCTACCGAAAATGAATTTTCGCATGGACCACACGATATGCCATATGTTCTTGTTGACCCAAAAAATCGATACTTTTACGAAGCAAGATGGTGCAAAAATGTACATTAAGATTGTTAAAAACTGCTTTTAGATCTTGCTGATATAACTGTCCATGCAATAACCTGATTTAGTATCTCTCGGTTCGCGCTGTTTTGTTTCCCACTCGTTTGTTAATAGTCCTATTTTTATTTTAATTGCGAAAACATAAATGCGGCACATAAGGTCAGTTTTTCTTTCTGCTTAGGATTGCAGTAAGATTTTAAAAGGTTCTAGTACAGATTAATTATTCCAAGTTTTTTACAATACCACAGTACATCGTTTGGTTTCACCAAAGACTTCCTTTCTGAGAAGAAAAAAAAACCTCCACTTATCGATCAGATTATAGGACGTTCATAATTCGCAGGTTGTAACATATATTTGCCCATGTTAAATAGAAAATACAATTGAATATATTATGACCTCAAAGAGAACTTCGAGTACTCTAGATCTCTTGCGAGAGCAAGAGTAGGAAATGAAGAAACATTATATCTACAAGAAAATAATCAAACATGTATATACTATGGATATTGCTAGCTATAAATGTTGAATTGACCTCATTGATTTTTTCGTCATTTCTATGAGTGTATTTAAGGATGCAGTTGGTTTTAGGTAACCATTGTTTTTATGCAATATGTTTGATGAATGTCTGCATTAACAGGTACCGTTGTTTTGTTCTTTTGTTTGTTTTTTTTTTTATTGTCCTACTTCGAAATTTAAGCACAAACACTCATTTTCGGCGAAAACATTTAGGTTTTGTTTTTAGTCGGAGAGGAAAAAAAAAAGTTATTGGACTATATACCTCAACGACGCAAAAATTGCTTGAGGTTCAAGTCTAGCTGGTATCTTTTTAAACTCTAAAATTTTTCCAAAATAACCTCATGAAGAAAAAAAAACCCGCTTTTTTTTAATTACCACGGCAACATGAAGTGTCAATGGTATTTGTAAAGTTTTCTGTTGGATAAAAAGTTCACTATGGAATCATGCCAACTTTATACAATAGAACGGAAATTCGTGAAAAAGATTCCGTGCAGTCTTTATAACAACGAGGGCACTGCAGGTGGCTTGGGAGTCAATTGAAGGCCATTAAGAACGCCTCGTTCTTTCAGGGAGGGAAGAAATCTCTTTTACAAATAACAGGATATTCCTCATCGTGCCCTTGTGGGATTACAGATTTGTCCCCCACCCCTCTCCCCTGGATTCTTCTTTTTCAATTGGTCAAGAACTATGCCATATTTGGCTGCAATCACCCGTGCGAGACAGTCATAATATTGTAGCATTTCCTTTAGGGGGTTAGCCGATGATGTTTACTTTGCCTTTGGCGAATAATCCTCGAATAAGATAACTTAAAGCAATGCGTGGGCTCGGATTGGTCAAGCTGAAAACTAGACTTCATCCCTCTCTCCCCTTTGTGTCCATTTCAGTCCTTACCCCTCTCCGGTGCCCTGCGCACTTCTATATACAGCGGCTAACCACGCGAAAGGTGTAAACAAAATCGCTGTGTCTCGATGTCCGGCAGCCGGACAGTGTGTTCAAAATACTCCGTGTCCGGCAGTCAATTTCTTTTTTAATTTTCAGTTAATAATAACAAATCCTTCTTTATATGGCTGAAAAACTTCACTATTTCTACCGTAGTGTGAGTTTTGGTGAGCTCGGCAACCACTATGCCGGTATTCATAACTTTGAAGCTCGCCGCGAGCTTCCGGACAGGAAATTGAAAATACTTCGTGTCCGGCAGTCGAATATTTTCCCGAATATTAAGTCATTACACTAAATATATTCGAGCTATACCATCCTAGTCGGTGTTATTGTTGTTTACATGGCTAAAGAGCACGATTACCAGTTTTGAAACTGCCG